GATTAGACATATCAAGACCCTCTCCTGGGCATGGAGATACTATCCCCATCCTTTCAGGCATGGGGGCTGACCAGAGGAGGTGGTAGGCACAAAAGCAAAGTCAGCAAAGATGTCTACAGACCTATCTTCACCATGTTATTTCTTATCCAAACTCAGACATTTTTGAGAGTGACAAATGGTAAGAGCAGACTGGATAGCATTAGAGCAGATGTAAACCAAATTTATCTATCACTCCATTGTTTGTTCTGAATCAATAATGAAAGTTTTATACTACAGGAATGATTATCATCATAACCATTTTAGTAATCAGAATACAAATCCAAGAATGGTCAAGTATGGACTTAAAATTACTCAGTAAGTGAAGCTCCAGATTAAAACTATCACAGGTATTTCCCACTAATTTCTAGATTACTTGGAAGACACAAAGTAGTTTATTTATGTTATACACTCAGGATGATAGATAAGTGGTACTTTTTGTTCAGTAAATCTTTTAAGTGGATTTGTTTTTATTGACATCTACTGTCTTATATGCTAATAAACATAGTTAATTCTAATACCTAATAGCTTAATCCATATAGTAATCCTTTTCTCTCAGAAGAAATTCAGCCCAGTTGAGAAATGAACAAAAACATACTAAGCTATAGGCTGGTGGATTTATAAATAGTAGTACTGTGATTCTGTACCAGCCCTCCTCAGCTTTTGGCCATATTGGAGCTGGCCCTACACGAGTAGATCAAATATGAGCTGACAAAGTGTGATATTCCCTGAAATGTCATGCATAGCAAGTGCTAACAACGTGTTTAGCTTAGAGATCCAATTACAAGTGAAATCCTACTTCTTCCTTTAATTTTTTGCATGGAATAGGTCAGATAAATCTTTTCTCCTATGGAATATAAGAAACTATTCTAAGATACACTATATAAACTTCTAGTTTAGTATCCTGAACTGCTTTCTTCATGGATATTAGCAAATCAGATTTTTAGTCTTCTTTCAAATATTTATTCTCAAATTTGTGCCTTTGGAATAGCTATTTCCTAACAGATACAAATAGCAAAATCCCTATAAGAGAGAGAGAGAGATTTCTAAACATTTCAGTATATTTCAAATTCCACCTTGAGCCTGAAAACCGTTATTTGAAAACACTTTAGAGCGTAACAAGTATTTCTGCAAATATCGTGGATGTCTCTTAGGTCAGCTCTTTTTGACAAGCCATTGAACACACAGCAAATGCAGACTCTTCTCCCCACTGCAGTGCCTATGATGGATTATAAATGATATATTGCAAAGAAGACACCTCCCCCTTGGAACTCCAAATATGCCCTATAGCAGTATAAGCACGATGAAATAAATCTCTGACTATTTTCAAAGCAACTGTCTGCATCACTATGTAGTGTTACCAATCAGTGTTAACTCTGTAATGATCTCTGCAGCTTTATCTAGAATGTGAATTTTGAAGCTATTTCTGTGTCTACACCAGGGCACAATATATGTGCTCGTCATAGACAAAGAGAAGAAGAGAGAGGGGAATGAAAAGGAAAAGAATGAAAGGAGAAAGGGAGAACTGACAAATAGACACAGACAGAATAGTTATTGACAAGAGAAAAGGCTACTGTCACCATACAGTTTGGAGTGACCACAATCCTTCACCTGGATTAAGACTTTACTCTTAATGCTCCATCCCATGGTATCAGTTTTAAGTGTGAATCAGATCATAATTAGACTTTCTTAAATCCTGTTTATGTGCTTCCAATAAACTTGAACTCCAAGTTTAAATCACCTGGCTGAAAAGTCCCGTGGCCTACCTGTTTATTTTTTCCTCCCTCCCAGGCCATTTCTCTTCCACTTACCGGGCTCCACTGATCTTCACTATAACTTTTGAGCATGCCATTGTGTTTTGCATTTGCTGATTGTCCTCTATCCCTCTCTCCCTCTCTCTCTGTTTCCAGTGCTTATTCCCTAAATCTTCATAATATTTATGCTGCCATCCTTCTTATATGTAGGTTTCAACTAAAATATTACTCATTAAGAGATACTGTCCTGAACAACTTATAAAAGGCAAGCAATATGCTCCAGGTTGGTCTCCACTACAAAGCCTTACCCCATCTTTTTTTGATTTGAAGTTTTTGAAATTGAATTACTTATGTTTGCATATTATCTCACACTCATGAATGCATAATCACTCTCATGCTCTCTCTTATATCCCCGTTCCTAGGATATTACACGGCACATAAATTTTTATAAAATACATTTGATTACTCATTGACAATAACTTCTCAATCTCGTTTGGGTAAGTTATAGTTCTCATATATAGTTCATATATTATGCAATCTCACTTGGATAAATTATAGTTCATATATATAATTCATAGATTATTTATATATTATAGTTCAATAATAAATGTTGATTATTGATTCAGAACAAACAAAAGGGTGATGTATAAATTTGGTTTACATCTGCTCTAATGCCATCCAGTCTGTTCCTACCATTTGTCACTCTCAATTATAGTTCATATACTTCATATTATAGTTCATATCATATAGTTCATATATATAATATGTCACATACATGACATTTTATCAGTTCTAGATAAAATGTATATTTTAGTACCTATATTCTTACAGATAAGTTTGTGACTTTTAATTCCATAGTATAGGATGATGTTACTGATTCTAACCAATACATAGTCTTATTATATACAATATATTATTTAACTATTCTTCTATTGATGATCATCTAGATAGTTTCAAATACTTGATATCATAAATAATCTATGAATAATAGTATAATAAACTTATTTTTTGTTTCCATCACTATTATAAGTATTAGGACCCATCAGTGAACAAATAAAAGCACTTACCTTCATTGAACTTACATTCTCCTGAAGAAACACATAGTACAATTGAATTTTATAAGAGTCTAAGTTTACAGTGTGTAAGAAAATATGCAGTGCTAGGAAAGAACAAAAGAAGATGAATGAAGACTGAGCATTGCTTTCCATGATTAAAAGGTTCCTTTGCCTATTTTCTACACTAATGTCTGGTTACAGTAAAATTATAACACATGGAAGAGCCTTCAGATTTCTCCTGGGGGAGATTAATGCAAAGCTTTTGAAGGGTTACTAGTTAATCTATTATCTTTTTATTCTGAGTGTTTTCAGAATTCATTTTCCTTGGATTTTTAATATTTTATTGGATTGTTCTAGGTGTTTGTCATTTCAGTGGATTGTCTGGCTCTTAAAGATTCTTTTGTTTATTATTTCTACTCAGAAATATTTTTCTCTGTCATTATTTATTATATTCCTTATAGTCTCTTTAATTTTTTCTCATAATTGTTGAAAACCTTGTACAAATAGGAAAATTTCTGGATTTATTCTTCATCTTCATCTTTCCATGATTTCCATCTTTTTCTCTTTTTAATAAGTACATGTTCTCAAAGAAACAGTTCAGTCTTTCAAATTTCTGGTCTTATCATCTGCCCTGTATCTCCCTGCTATTCTACATACCTATTGAGAGATTGTCCTTCATGTGGTTACTTCCAACTTTTAAAATTAATTTTTTTCTTATCATATCTATTTGGTTTTATTTTAGGTTGTTTTATTGGTTGAATTATTCTAAAGATATTTAATTTTATCTGTCTGCTCAAAGTTTTTTTTTTGTTGTTGTTGTTTGTTTTCTTTTCTTTTTTTTGATTTAGGTTTATTTCCCACTCTGAGATGCTAATCTTGATATGGACACATCTTCAATTTCAATTTTTTCTCAAATATTTGATGATTTCATTTTATTTCTTTATAGTTGCAAATGGGACACAGAATTAAAGAGTTTTGATTCATTATTTTTCTTCAGTCTAATAATGTATTTCTTCAGCCTGGGTGGGTGAATGCTAATTATAAAATCTCTTATTCTCTCATGACCAGATGTAGAAATGACCAGCAATGAAGAGAAAGCTCTTCAATACAAATATATTGAGAAATGGGAAAGATGATGAAATTAACAATCTAGGATATTAAAGCAACTATTATAAATATTCTCAATATGCTCATGGAGGAAAAGGAAAACAAATACAATGAGCAAAGAAAACTATAATGTAAAATAAATGCCACATGGAACTTTTAAAATAAGAAATATAAATGAAAGTATCACTGGATGAAATTAACTAAATTAGATGCTACAGGAAAAACATTAGTTAAAATACATAGCAAAAACTTATCAAACATGACTCACACAAGAGAAAAAATTAAAAATAAATGAACAAAACATCATCTGGAGCCTCTGAGAAAAATAGAAAGACAGAGGTGGATATAAAAAAATATTTATTTGAAGAAATAATGGCAAAGAATTTTTCTTATTTAAGGAGAACTCTGAACATATTTAAAAATTCAAGAAACCCTCAGCAAGGTCAATATATAAAACAAATAAACCAAGCTGAATCTTAAGCTACATGCTGAAAAGCACTAATAAAAAGGAAACCTTAAATGCTATAAGAGATTTTTTTAAAGATCATTAGGTACAAAAACAGCAAAAAACAATTACTGCATGATACAAGTCAATGAGCATCTTTAAAGTCCTAAAAAAAAATGTGATACCCAGCAAAAATACTTTTCAAACATCAAATCAAAGTAAAGCCTTTTTCAAATATGAACACAGAGAATTTGTCACCAATAAATATATAGCATAAAAAGTGTATAAGGGGATTTTTAAGGCAGAAGAGAAACAATACTTGTTAAAAACTTGAATCTATGCAAAGAAATGAAGGGTGGCATGGAAAGGTAGGTTCAACCCACATGTTCTTCAGAATGGATGATATAAAAAGAAAACCTAAGCTGACTATCCCTAACCTTAGAGAACCAATCTTTCTGTGATCCTTGCCACTATTTCAGAACAACTGAGTCACTTATTTCTTTTGTGGCATTGAAACATTTCCTTAATTTGTCTCAGTATTTCTACCTATAAAACACATTACATGACACAGGTAAGCATTTAAAAATGTTATTTTTTTCATTTAGAGATATAAAATGTTTCATGAATTTGTGTATCATCCTGTGCAAAAGCCACACTGATCTTCTCTAGATCATTTCAATTTTAGTACATGTGCTGCCAAAACTAGCACTATCTTTTAAAAAATAAAAATTAAGTTAACAATCCTCTGGCACATCAGTTACAGATATTAAATTTTCTTTTACTATAAAATAAATCAGGCTAATTTCAGATTTTTTTAAATGTAGCATTAAATACCAGAAAACATTGGAGCAATATCTTTAAAGTCCTTTAAGAAATGCGATTCAATGATTTTATTCCTAATCCTTCAAGTTTAAAAACAAAAATAAATTTTGGAACATACAACAACTGAGTACTCATCTTCCTATAAAAACTATTAAGGAAAAAGTTCATTTGCAAAAATACTGAATAATTCAAGGACCACAATGTAATGTACATAGTTAATAGTGTGCTTTAAAACATCAATAACATATTACTCATAAAACTAACAGATTTTAAGAATCAGAGGTGACAAGAATTTGGGGGGTCATGTAATTCAGGTAGCAATGATAAACTCTTTTATAAGTCAGAATAAAGATATTTAAAGTTGATAAACAGTAAGGGATATAGATAAGTAGATAGATATCAGATCAATATAAATAATGAAATTTATAGTTCTAATAAAGAACTAAAGGAAGAGAAAGGGTTAAAAAAAGTGAAGTGAACTGAGTCAGATTTTGCTCATACTAGGGAAACACCACATTCTTTCTTAAGAGAGAAATATTTCAAGGCATTACAACACCTCTGCCACCACCAACAGGCTTAGTTGCTAGTACAACCAAAATTGCTGAGTAACAAATATGCAAGAAACAATACATTAAAAGGATAATCATCAAAGCTTCTGAGGGGCAGGAATTGAGGAGCAGCTCTGCTGGACAGTATTGGCTTGAGTTTCTCCTGAGGTTGCAGTCAGATGTTATCTGCTGCTTCAGCAATCCTTCACCTTGACTGAAGCTTGAAGATCTGTTTCCAAGGCAGTTCCACCCTCTGGCTGTCAAGCTAGTACTGGCAAGTTTGTTGCTCCCCATAGTGAACTCTCTCTGAGACTGTTTGTGTGTCCTTCCAACATGGCAGCTGGCTTCCTCAAGTAAGTGCTCCAAAGGTCCAAAATAATAATGCACTTCTGACCTGGTTTAAAATATCAGACACTGTCACTGCTGCTACATTCTACAGAATATACAGGCCAAGCCCATTCCAATGTGGAAATGCTTGCATAAGGGCTTTTACAATATCATGAAGTGAGGATCTTTGGCACCCTCATTGAGAGAGTGAAAGGAAGAAGGATGCAAGACCACTCAAGGTCTGTTCAAAACTAGCAAACGACAAACCCATTGAATTAAGTTAGCCAAGCCAGGTCACAAGGCCAGCCCAGATTTGATTTGTAGGGAAACAGAATCCAACTTTTAATGAAAGGATCCCAAATCACATTGCAAGCCATGTGAGTACTCTGAAGGGAATGGTTTTGACTATCTTTGTCAAAGTCGATCACAATTTCCTATATAAACTATATTTGGACAAATTTAAGATGAACCACCTAAACTTCAGTCCCAGAGTTCTTACAAGAAATAAAACAAAGAAGAGATCCAGTTTTTAGTGGATACCCTGTCCTAGGCTTCTTTTTTGCAGTGTAAGTTATGGTTTTTACTGCATTCCTATTTTGAGACTAAGTTTTATAATAAATGGATGTTTCATTCTATTTCTCATAATGGTGAAGTAATTCTCAATTTGCTTCTTATGTGAAATTTAAGTTCCTGATGATAGGTTTTAAAGTCTTTCACTAATTTGAAAATTGACAGTTCATCACTTCCCAGTGGCACTTAATTGACATATTTTCATTTTAGTGCTTTGAAAGCCTCAGAAAAATAAAACACATTCTAAGCATCAATCTAATATGAATGCCAATCGTCCTCCCTGATATGTAGTAGAACTTGAGCCTTCACTGTTAATATCATCTACCAATTAATGTACACAGACACACATCCATCTCTATTTTGTTTTCTACAATTGTATGAATTTAGGCATTTATAACTTCACTTTACATTTTTTCTTCTATTTCTGATTATCCTAGGAGTGTAGTTGCATTTAAGCTTCCCAAATGGATTTCAAATAAAGGTCTCCTACTCCATGTAGATTGACTTAGGATTCAGCTGCTATTTTTGTAATTGATATGACAATATTGGAGCTTTGGAACAATGTACAAATGGCTAAAAATATGACTACCACTGGATTTATATCTGTCTTTATTCAACAGACTGTCATTTGAGACAATCCATTTAAATGAACCAGATTGACTTTTGTAATTTGGATTCACAAGGAAGAATTTAAGGATAAAAATCTAAGTCATGTAAAACTTTTATTATTATACTTGGTGGGCCAACTAAGAATTTTTTTCCATCAAAATCTTCTTGAGTAATAAATATCTATACCTGAAGAGGACTTTATTGACCATTTAGTCCAGGATCAGCAAACTTTTTTAAAATTATAAGATAATACTTGGGTTTAATAGTCTCTGTGGCATCTATTCAATTCTGATGATGTCATGTAAATGCAACGGTAGACAATACATAAATGAATAAGTGTGGATGGGCTCCAGTAAAGCATTATTTACTAAAACAGGAACAAGAGCCTTAGTTCGCCAACCCCTGATCTGGTCCAACATTTTAATTTTTCAAATGAGGAAATGAGTCACAAAATAGTGAAATAACTGCCCAAGGTGTCACAGTGTAGTTATAAAAGAGCTGGAAAAGAAATCTAGGTCTTTTGGACTCCAACACGATTTTCAAAACAAATTGTCAAAACAAAATGCCAAAATTTGTAGAAAAAAAGTATATGGGTATATAAGTGTGTGTGTATGTGTGTGTATATGTGTGTGTATATGTGTGTGTGTGTGTATATGTGTGTGTATGTGTGTGTATGTGTGTGTGTGTGTGTGTG